ATTTACTGTAAAAATATTTTGGCGGTTCCACTTTTTTTAAGTTTTGACCTAACTTCTCCTCGAATTTGTGGAGTTTGTCTTGATGTTGGTACACAAATGGGGGACCTACAGTTTAACGCCGCCTTCGAACGGCAAATGGCTTTTATGAGAAGATTTTTCACGACAGGACTACACTCGGAGTGTTGCCATTGTCTGGCGAGGGGCAACCACTACAAAAGTCTGCGAATAGGGCAAGACTATTTGTAAAAATATTTTTGTAGTAATATTTGCAATACTTGAGGTAAATTTTCTAAGTTCGTAAATGTAAAAATCTTTCCTGGGCTCGAATCGTCACATACGATATGGTACTATTCGTCACGTAAAAATACATTTTTCGGACTATGACATACGTGATCGTACCCTTTGTCCCATTCAGCTTATACTGACCGACGAAAAAAGCCGTAACTAAATAAAATTTCATAATCAATCAAAAACCATATCGATACTTTCCGTTCGATATCGTATCCCTAAATATACAACTTGAGCTTTTTTAACCATACCCGTAAATTGGTTTCTGTCTATATGCATTGGTTGGTGCTGAATGATGAAACTAACAAACAGAGTGGATCACAAATTGCGGCATATTTATATCAGCATTATATCAATGCCAGATTTGCGCGAGATTTTTATCCAAATAATGACTAAACGCGAAAGGGAATGTTGCAATTTTTTTCAATAACCCATGTTCGAATCGTGGTATTTTTCGAATATTTCCGAGTTTCTTTTACATTCTTAGTGCTGAAAAGGCACAATAGACCTAAGATGGTAGTGCTCATCCTCTAACAAATCTATCTAGTGCTGAAATTAAATAGCATTTAATTTTAAAATTTTCTATAGGCAAATGTATATTTAGAGTTATGTATAGTGCTTAAAAGTGGCTTTTCATAGATATGTAAGTATATTACTTTACAGACGGATTGAAAATAAAAACCCGATTTTGGCTGTTTTTAGGACTGGGTAAGAACGACAATTCTTACGACACCAATATATTTTCCAAGTAAGCTTAAAAGCAAATGGGGTAGTTACAAACTTGTGTGACCCAGCCTGATGTAAGTTTGTATTTACATACGTATACGTTTATGCATACGTTAAAATAATGGGTCGATCCATGAACCAAAAATACAAGATCACGCCCTCTTCTTAGTAGCCCGTTATAATCGCATTTAGGAAAAAAGTTGGGCGACTTTGACATTAGCCGTTTGTTTACATTTGTTCGTTGTTTAGATTTTGGTGGTGGCTTTTTACTGCAATTTTCTTAATTTTCGCTTGTGACAACGTGTGCACACATAAGGTAAAGATTAATTTAACACAACGACATGATTTATAGAAGAGTTTGCGTAATAATGATTATTCATGCGTTCAACAATTACGCGTTTTTTTGTTCTCTTCGTTGTTTACTTCTTACAACAAAGATGGCGTCGAGATTTCAACAGCTAGAAAATAACTTTTTTCTTTTTTTCGGGAAGGCGTGATCTTGTGTCTTTCGTTCATGGGGTCGATCATAAAAGCTTAGAGAAATGTGTGGCTGCTTCTTCACTTTAGCTCTTTATTTTAATTTTTTTTTCTAGGAACCAACTGCGACGCTTTCGAGTAGTGTGTGTGAGCATGTAGCTGTGCAGGTTCCGTAATCGCACGCTTTATGGTTTAATTTGATGGAAATCAGTAGAGGTTACTTATATGGATCCTTATTCATTTGGATACCCGGTCGGTTAGAATACCGTTACTGAAAGGTAAAAATTTGTATTTCCATGGCAGACGTTCGAGGGGCCACAACTCTGACAGAAATGTATTGAAATCTGCTTTTTTTTGGCCAGTAGCATAATATTCATAAAAATTTGAAGGGCACACTCGTTTTTATTTCGCTTGATTATTCGGTAAACTTTTGAGGCTTTCGTTAACCGAGTTAATTTACATACATAAGTCCTCTGAGAAGTGTTAGACAAATCCGAATGAATAGTGCCCTATTTCTTTGGCTGAGGCTGTTCGATTCTTCTCTTAGCCTGGATGCATTAACTGTCTTCTTAAGTAGTCTGGCAACTATAAAGGCACTTGCATGATACAAATTCATAAAGATACGTCTCACATGTTCTCGCGAGGAATCGCCAACTTTTGTTCCATCAGTACTTTGTTGAGTGTCTCGCCGAACTGAGTACAGCCAGTATCTATGATTTTGTGGCCTGTGTCAGAACAAGGAAATAATGTAAAGAGGTTTATTGCGGTACCACCCGTGGCGGTATAAGTGTGCCTCCATCTAGAGCTGAAGGAGGGCAGCCATGCTAAACAAACCTAGCCTAACAATAAAAACTAAGGGTATCGGAAAAACACCGATGCATCTAAAATATCGATGTTTTGCTTCGATGCATCGAAATTTGCCACATGCATCGATGTTTTTTGAAAACTGACACCTCTAGAACAATGTTGGCCACTTCATAACCACGCGTTCCAATTTGCATACGGCTGGCACAAAATAAAAGCTTTCACTGGCCAACTCTCCTCTAGAACATTGAACTGCAATTTCAGTTTTAAAATTGTGCAACAAAAGAGAAGTGACTTAGAAAAAAAAAATTAAATTGCATCAAAAAGTTCCGTTAGAAACATAATTCCGTTAGAAGCAAGTCCTTCTCAACCTGGCTTTTCTATCGCAGTGCTACCACCAGCGGATTCCGAATTGAATACTTTCAGAGCTGGAGCGTCGCAGTCCATTCGAACGACATGGCAATAACATATTACCGATGTATTCCCTTCGATGTATCACAAAATATCAATATATCGAATCAAAGAAATACATCGATGAATTTTTGCCAATGACATCCATAATCAAATCTTCACAGCGCTAACGTTGTAAAAAAAAATAATATCACAGTCCCATTAGATATGACCGTGTTTTTACTACTCCCTGAGGGAAGTTAAAATACACAAAGTATGAAACCATTACGGTGGCTAACTCATACGAAGTCACCCAATAGTTATGAACGCATTTACAAGTCGCTCGGTACATTTACTCGTCTTCACAACGGCAGAAGTCTTCATCCATTAATATCCTTAATTTTTTACATATACACGCGATCTTTTTCGAAACTGAACTACAAACACATGTAACTATGTATATGAGACGTTCCGGGTATTTATAGTTTATTTGGCGCTTCTTTGCATGTCTCCGAAGTTGGCATACAATATGACGCAAAACGACAAAAATGTTGTTCTGACTAGCCTTCCAATAGTTCTAGAGTTCTTGAAAAGGGGGAAAAAAAATCTGAATATTTTGACAAAAGAAAATTGTTTCAAAAATTGTGTATGCCAGATTCACGCATCATACGACATATAGCAAAACGACAAATAAAAAATTGTTCTGAGGAGCTTTTCAATAGTTCTAGAGTTCCTGAAAAGAAGCCGAAGGAAACAGGAACTTCTGCAAAATTACGTCGATCAAAACATTAAAAAAAAAAATCGAAATAAGAAAATTTTCGAGATGGCAGCCCAATAAATTTTAGTCTAATAAAATGCAAACTTCAAAAGCCAAAAGTTACCGTCGATTTTTGAGATTTTTTTGTCTTCTATATAACGCATTAAAAAAATTTACGGTAACTTCTTGCTATTTAAAACTTGCACTATATTTGATTAAATTGAATGGGCTACAAATCTGCATTCCCAAAAATTTTCAAAAAATTCTAATTAAAAAGTTTGAAATTTCAATGAACATTTTTTGAAGTTTGATTAAATTTTTGTGAAATTTGAGCAAGCTTTGAAACTTTTATTCATGTGGTTTCTGTTATAGATTGAATTAATATTATAAGTGAAAATTACTAAAAAAAAAACTAAATAAATATACTTAACTTGCAAACAATATCTATCTATTTGAATTTTGGTGATAAGTCTATGACCATAGCTGTATATGTATGTATAAGAAAATGTGCAAGACCATAAAGAAATAAAATTATCAAAATTTCCTTCTCAGGAACTCTAGAACTATTGAAAAGTAACTCAGAACAGTGTTAATTTAATTTTTTTTTCAAAAATTTAACTTTTTCGATTTTTCGAAAAAATGTTTTTTTTTTCGGCGTAATCTTGCAGAACTTTCTTTTTCCTTCTCAGGAACTATAGAACTATTGAAAAACTACTCAGAACAGAATTAAACTTTGGTTTTTTTTCAAAAATTTAACTTTTTTGACTATTTCGAAAAAATGTTTTTTTTCGAGGTAATTTTGCAGAACTTTCTTTTTCCTTCTAGGAACTCTAGAACTTTTGAAAAGCTACACAGATCAGTTTTTACAATTTTTTAATTTAGTTTTAACAGTTTAATAAATTTTTTTCAACAATTTAACTTTTTCGGCTTTTTCAAAAAAAAAATGCCTTTCGGCTTAATTTTGCGGAACTTTCTTTTTCCCACTCAGAACAGTTTTAATTTTTTTTTTTCAAAATGTATCTTTTTCGACTTTTTCGCAAAAAATGCTTTTTTCGGCGTAATTTTGCAGAGCTCTCTTTTTCCTTCTCAGCAACTCTAGAACTTTTGAAAAGCTACACAGATCAGTTTCAATTTAATTTTTTTTCCAACAATTTAACTTTTGGGAAAAAAATGTTTTTTCGGCCTAATTTTGTGGAACTTTCTTCAGGAACTCTAGAACTATAGGAAGTCTACTCAGAACAGTTTTAATTTTTTCAGCGTAATTTTGCAAAACTTTCTTTTTCCTTCTTAGGAACTCTAGAATTTTTGAAAAGCTACTCAGAACAGTTCTAACTTTTAATTTTTTCATAAATTTAACTTTTTCGACGTTTTCGAAAAAAATGTTTTTTTCGGCGTAATTTTGCAGAACTTTCTTTTCCTTCTCAGGAACCCTAGAACTTTTGAAAAGCTACTCAGAACAGTTTTTCAAACATTCAACTTTTTCAACTTTTTTGAAATTTTTTTTTTTTCGGCGTAATTTTGCAGAACTTTTTGTTTCCTTTTCAGGAACTTTAGAACTATTTTTTATTTGCCGTTTTGCCACATGTCCTATGCTGCGTGAATCTGGCATACACAATTTTCAAAGCAATTTGTTTTGTCAAAATATCCAGAACTTTTTTTTCTTTTTCAGGAACATTTTTTTTTTGTCGTTTTGCGTCATACCGTATGCCAACTTCACAGACATCTTCTTTGTTTATTCGAGAGATAATGCGAGCGCTTTTTGCTCATATTTAGCGTGTAGAAGAGAGAAAGTGGGTATAACCCGGCGGCGCACTGCTAAATGGGGTGCATTGCGTAATTCATACAAATAATTGATTAAAACGCCGCTGACCAATTTAAAATAGTAATGCACATTGTAGGAAGTCTGCTTACAATGTGCATTATAATTTACAAATGAAACGCAATTGTAATGAACGCCCGAAGAGTAATCGGTTACATCATCCTTTCCGATTACAAAGCCAGCATGTAAAGGACGCTAACCACAAATCGGCCATTATTATGGCAAAGTAAGTTGAAGGAGTGTTCGATTACGTAATGTGCATTTGCGCCGCTGGTAAGATGTCTTCATAACTGTCGCATACAAGGCTGCGCCCTGAAAATTGTAAGTGTGGGTGCCCACAAAGATCAGATACAAGGTTGCCAATATTGAAATCAGTTTTAGAAATTCACACCACAAATTCGTTAGTCTTTGGTTGCCTTAGTTGATTAATCTACATATAGTTATCTTTAAAGGTGTATTTGAAATTATTTAAATTAATTTGAGACTGTCTAGCTTGTGATCAATCGGTGATTGCTGGGTGCTAGTCAATCACAGCACTCAATAGCTCTGCTATGCAATAAAAGTAATAAGCTCAGCCTTTGGCGTGGCCCAACCTATCACCCCATAGTTGTAATTTAAATTCGGTGTTCACCATCAGAATCCACCGTAACCACCTATATCGGACGGCTTCAGTCGATCAAACATCGACAGCGCATGTGCATGGGCGTGCGGATGTGTGGCATGTGGATGTCCCGGGTGATGTGGATGGTGTGTGTGGTAGACGGCAGCAGCGGCCGCCGCAGCTGCAGCAGCTGCCGCAGCAGCCGAAACAGCGCCAGGAGGTGGGGGTGTATTCGCCTCCGATGACTGGCCGTGATGGGCATGAATTGTCGACGGATAGTTGCCTTGGGCTGCTGCCACAGCCGCGGCGGCCACAGGATTACCGTAGCCATACGGATAGTTGGGGCTTGGTAAGTGGAGCGAAGTGGCTTGTGCTGCGCCGGTTACGCTGGGATTGCAATATGGATTGCCATAGTCGCTGGCGGTGCTGTGTTGCCCAGCGCTGTATGCGCCATGATGATGGTGGTGGTGTGCCGGATGATGTGCCGTCAGATGGTGGTGGTGGTGTGTTGGTGCTGGCGCATACATGGAGTTGACGCCGGCAATATGAGGTGATAGGTGCGCATGGGGGTCCATATACATCTGCGGATGGGCAACATGGTGGGCGGCATGGTGTGCAGCCACTGCAGCAGCAGTGTTTGTTGATGTGGGGGAATTCGCCGCTGCTGCGGCCAAGGCGGCAGCCGCCATGAAATTCGAATGGTAGACGTTGCTGGCTACAGCAGAAGTTGAGGTGGCCGACAGGGAAGGGTAGTTGCTATTGCTGCTACAGCTATTGTTAGATGTAACGGATGAAGCTGCTAGATTGCTGACAGAAAAGTTGTTGTTGCCCATGCTGTGCAAATTCGACGTGGATGGGCTGTTGTACAGACTGGTAGACGTTGAAGAGACTGCGCTGCTTACTGGTGGTGTACATGTATTGGACGCATCTTCGGCCATGCTATTGTCTGCTGGACTGTTAGTATGGTTGGCGGAGCTCGTCAGCGGTGTTGAGGGCAAGAGAACATCTGTCATTAGTGGTGCGCTCACTGAACTTCCGTAAGGCTGGTGAGCTGACAATTGCTGCTGTTGATGGTGTTGATGGCGTGGAGACATCATAACTGGCGAAGAGGCTGCGGACGAGTTGAGTCTGTGGATGCTGTAATTTCCAGGCGAGTTCGCACTGAAGAGCCCAGTGGTTGGGTGCGGTGTGTTGCTGCCGCTGCTGTTGTTTCCAGTAACTGTGTCGCTTGTGTCTGACACTGCGGCTATGCCGTTAACGGCGCTGTTGGGTGTGCAATAATGATCAGCATGCATGTCGACCGGTGGATTGCCTGTGCCAAGGTTCTGTACATTCTGCTGGTGTTGCTGTTGCTGTTGCAGGCTCTGAAGGCGACTCTCAACAGCCGCACTGACCGAATTGTTCGACATCGCTGTTGATATGGATGCCGAGTCGTTCTCCGATATTGTGGGAATTTGATCAACTAGTGACTCCAGCCCGGAAAGACTTTTGCTGCTAACATCGGAAGCCAGGCGTGAGTGATGGTGCGTAATGTGGCTATGCTGGCTTTCGGCCAGATGCTGGTGTTGCTGTTGCTGTGTCTGATGATGCATGTTAGGGCTAGAATGCTGTTGTTGTTGCTGGAGCTGTACATGTGGCGACGAAATATTATAGTTGCTGCTGACGAGTTCATCATAGTGTTGCTGGCGCTGCCATTGTGCGTGCATTGAAGAAGTCGATATTTCATGAAGTGGGTTCCCCGTGTTCTGCAAGTGTTGGGGGTGATGCAGCTGTTGGTGCTCGTCAAAGTTAATCGTCTGTTGTTGTTGCTGTTGCTGCTGGTGATGCTGAATCTGCTGCTGCTGTTGTTGTTGTTGATGTTGATGGTGGGCATACTGCGCAGGCAGGGAAAGTCCAGTGTGTGTTCCAAGCCACTGCTGGTAATGATCGGTCGTTTGATGCTCCGATGCTGGCTCGTCCCCTGGACTTGTATAGCGCACGTTTTGTTGCAACTGCTGATGCTGTATTCTCGAGTGCTGTGGTATTGTAGGTTGTCGCTGGTTCTGCAGTTCTCTATCGTGCTCACTGCTGAGGGACGCACCAGTAGCGGGAGGTTCGAAGTCCACAGCGCAGATGCTTGGTGAACTAGGCGGTGGCGATTCGCCCAAATGCGATTCGTGCGAAGCCGAAATCGATACGGGTACCGACGAGTTTGTTGGAATTTCGTTGCCAAGGTCGCTCACTGAGTTGGCCAACGGTGTGGATACCGACAAGCTTTCATGATGTTCAGAGCTATTCGAGTTTACGCCCCGGGAAGTATTTTTGGCGGCATAGAAACTGTTTACGTTGTTGCTTCCATTGCTACCGCTAGCGTTATCTATGTGTGCGTTAACTAAATTTGTGGGGCTTTCCATAATACCGCCGCTGTTGTCGAGCAGTTTGTCACATTGTTGCTGATGTGTTGGCGGAGTTGATTGTGTGGAAGTAGGTGGCGTTATACCAGCATATGAACAGTTTAGTGCTGGCGATCTCATCGGCGAACTAGAAGTGAACATTTGCTGCGTCTGCTGCTGCGCTAAATCCTTGCTGCCGTAGATAGTGTTGGACTGCTGTTGAAGTTGTTGTTGCATGCATTGGGGTGAATTGTTATCTATGCCTGTAAGCGCTTGGATCGACATTGAATGCGGCTTGACTTGAATAAGTGAATTTGTCATTTGCTGTGTTTCAGGACTGGGCTTCACCTTCTTCGGTCGACCTCGTTTTTTCTTTGGTGTCTCGCCATTGCCATTGCCCATACCAACTCCCAACAGTGAATCGTTAACGCACGTGCCACCTGCGCCCCCGCCCATCATTGACAGATTCAGTATGTTGCCAAAGTCGTTATTGCCCGGTATCTGACCCATCATTTGCATACGATTACGTGCAGAAGGGTTCATTATGTCCTGTTCTTTGACCTTCTTCGGACGGCCGCGTTTCTTTTTCTCGGGCAACGATGGTCCGTGGTATGAGTTCATCATGTAGCTTTCGTTATTGGGTTGTTGCATTATGGCACTTGGAACTGCGTTTGGTGGTGGGCCTGGTCCGGGTGCATGACCAGCAACGCTCTGCCCGCGTACGCTCTCATCGGGCCGATACGTGTAAGCAGGTTCAGCGGATGCTCCTTGAAAGCCATGGAATTTATCTTGGTCCGAATGCATGCCACAGCTCGGATCGGGAACGGCACCAGCTATATGATTGCCACTACAGCTGGCGGCATCCCGGCAAACTCCAAGAGCCGTACCACTCAAAGCGTTGCCGTCGTTGTTGATACCACTATTTCCGTGCGGCTGCGTCAAAATATTTGCGCCTTCTTCCATTGACCGCATTTGCATGCTGTTGTACATAATGCCAATGCCATCGGGCGTGCCGGGCATTCCCGAAGCTGCCACAGATCCATGTAATACGCCTGCACCTGATGGAGCCACACCAGCAGTGGAAACGAGATTCTTTTGATTCTCCTGGTCGCAAACCTGTTTGATTTTCTGTTCGGTGAAAATGCATTCAGATTCATCCATATGTGGTATTAAACCATTCAAGTAGTCGCGAAATTTCTTAAGCGCAGCATAAAAGGGAACTTTATCGGCAGCTCGCGGTAATTGTGCGCATCTTGCAGATGAGGAAGGCATAACCCAAACATACTAAAAAAAGCGAAACAAAATTAAGGCGTTGTACAATATGAAGCTGAAATTTTATTAAAAGTACTTACCGTTTCAGTACCTTCCACGCACTCCGGCTGCCTCCCAAAATTGAAATCTTTTTTACCAGAGAAGACTTCAAAAATAAGTTTACCATTAAAAACAGCGATTTTCGGGCGAAATCGCTGTAGTTTCTCAAGTAAAATGCGACTACCCTCTTTGATTTCTTTGCGTGTCAAATCGGCTGAGCCCTTAGTCGCACGCTGCACCATGTTTGTGAAGCCTATGCCATATTTCAACAGTTTGTAGTCTTGTTCGGCGCTCATTTGTTCCTGAGTGAGGCCAGACAGATAAAGGCATTTCCAAAAGTGGTTGCCAGGCCCAGCATAATGATGACCCTTATATGCGGCGAATAAGCCAGGATTGATGCCAATCTGCGAACGATGAAAACATATTATTCGTTACGGTACTTTTGTGATATTAAAATTTAAAATTTTAACCCAAAGTGATATATGTATACTTCTACTTAGTATATATTTATTTTTTGAGAGCTCTTTGACTTGATGTTTTTACATCACTTCATTCCTATATTTTTGATCTAATTTTACTTTTTACTATCTTAGGTTGGGATAGTCAGGGTGAATTTGGCCGCTTCAGAAGCTGTCCTATGCGATAGCATTAATACGTGGCTGTGAATGATAACCCCAAACGAGGTTTTTAATCTCACCGCGTGTATTACCATGAAACATTGACTTTTCAGAGCCCGCACCAGTAGCGAGAATTGTGGCTTGTTGCCCATACGCTAGTTTTGGCCATCGAGTTGACATGCGACCCATCTATGCAAGTGCAGTTCACAGGTATACAATGGTATTTTCTCCCCTCTATACTCCGTAAGATGTCTAGACAACTCCATAACCCTGCTGCTTCCTGCAATATTGCTATAGTCTGTAGCCAAGTGACCAAGTGACAAGATATGGGACCATGTAGACAATTGAGTGGGAAGCAAGATAATTCCAAACCATATATACTTAGTTCCTATCAAATTACTTCACATAAATCAAGTGCCTTTTGACTTGCTTTAATGATTTAGATATTTCATTATCACGTGTACGTACGAGTGCGTGGTTTGTACTTCGTTTCAAAATATTTGGATGCATACTTTTAGGCATTATTTTTTATAAAACTCCTCAACAATGGCTACTAAAATAAACAACAAATAATTTTTTTCTTTTTTTTACGAGGCGAAATTATTTGATTTCATCACGATTTGCTTATAAATTACTAATGAGCCGCAAACTACGATAATGTGAACATGATTTAATGAGACCAAGGCCGGACTCCCCCTTATCGTGTTTGAATGTCAGCCACCTCAACCGTCCCCTTTTGTTATGCTTTTTATACCTTTGGAAAATGTGAATGGAGGGAAATCAGCTCGGAGGTGTTTTTTGCTTGTAATATCGACGAACCTTAACTATGTAGTACGTTTGGCATGGAAAATTTTTAGCTAGAGGTGGAGAAAACATCGATAGCACTATCAATGCATCGATGTTTTTGCATTTTCGCTAAACATCGATTATTGATGGCGACTATCGATGTTTCCTTTGTAAACCTTAAACCTCTGCGAATGTAAATTACAAAAAGTTAAAAGAGAACAAGCAAAAGGCATGAAATTTATGAAATTATATTAATATATGTGACCTGGTCTACGGAAAGGGGGCTTAGGTGTCAAAAAATCAATTTTCACTTTTTGGTTGATTCGGATGGAAGATGAGATTCTTTTTCACGTGGTGAAAAGCAGAAAATCCTAACTTGCTTAGAAGTGTACTAAAAATGTAGAGAAAGAAGAGTAAAAATATATATATATAAAAATGTTCCACACTAGCAACTTACACGATGAACTATAATAATATTCCGACCAACAACAACACTTACTGGACCAACAACAACACTTACTGGACGTCCGGCGCGGAGAACAATTAACGAGATAATGAGAAACTGACGAAACGAGTTGCTTACTTTTAACAGCTTTTTCACAGAAAACTAGTTTTCGCACGTAAGCTCCCTTTTCGTAGACCAGGTCACATATAACCTTTCTTAACAAAAATCAAAATATTTTTGAAGACTTTTAATGAAAAATAGTTTATCTCTTTTTTTTAGTAGTTTTATGTTAACCCCATTGAATAAAAGTTTTACATTTTTACACGCTTTTATTTAACTTCTCTTCAACTTCCCAATGTACTAGAAATTTAAAACTTTCATCTTAGTTCAGAGCCCGATGACAAAGCCAAATTGAAGACGAATTAATCCGTTCCGTTGGCGCAGGTGTCGAGATATTTGGAAACCCGGTATTTATGTTCCGATCATATTTGGAATGTATATTACTTACATGGAAGGAAATAACTCACCAAAAAAACTCTTTGATTTATGTCATTTTCAAAACCATATTGGGGCGTATTCATAGTCAAATTAAGTTCATACTTAAATCTACTTGCGGTTTTTTGACATAATTTTATTCCTTCTACGCAGATGAGGTTAAAACTAATTATGCGAAAAATGCTCCTTTGGCGCGTACTCTCCGTGATTTTAATGAGATCTCGAGTTCTGTCATTTTAGATTTCTCTTTGCCTAAAGATGCTTTTCTTTCTTTGTTATATACGGTTTATTGATTATATAGTACTTTTTCTAATTAGGTCAAAAATATTTAACTCATAATTAATCGCTTTAAGTAGTCAGTAAGAACTTTGTTTTATTGACTTCACGAAAAAAAAATAATCGAACGCTGAGTGGAAGATCGACCTATCTCGGCAGCCAGTTCAAAAACGCTCTATCTCAAAAAACTTTTCAAAAACGCTCTATTTCAGAATTTTATTGACAAACACCCTATGTATGTCACTTCAAAATGTATTGAAAATGTGCTGAGATAGGGCGTTTTTGAAACGAATTCTGAAATAGGGCGTTCTTGAACAGTTTTTTGATATCGCGCGTTTTCGAACGGGCTGCCGAGATAGTCAAAAGGAAATTTAAGGTTTGCTCAATGGGTTTCAAACAATTTGATGTATAATTAATTTTTGTGCGTTCAATTTAAAATTTTACGTTTTTTAGCATTGAATCGCGCGGTTCCCGAGATTTGCCCATATATCTATCATTACTTTCATTGCAGATTTCCTATGCCATTCACAAAATACGCAGTTTGTGATGAAGAGCGCGCTGGCTACATACATACTTATTTGTCAAGGACAATTGCCGAGAAGGATATAGCAAACCTGAATCCCTCAATTTAAATATTAATTTACTTATTAAATGTGAAAATGTAGCCGTTGTTTAACGAAAATGCTTTTTTAATGGCTTTATAATGGTGTATCATTTAGAGAAATCGGACATCAAATAAAAAAGTTAAAGATTTAGCAGTTTTTACAAGGTGCAAAAAAAATTTCATTTCCTGAAATACCCTCCCAGAGAGTGTTAGAAAATTTAACTGTTTTCACCCATACATCGTGATTAGTGTTGTTCCGATGTCGCCATGTACTCGATTCCTCTACTCTTTAAAAATATCGAAGAAAAGTATCGATGCTACAAATGGTACTTACTCGTATCGAACTCATTATAACATTCCGTAGAAATGATTATATAAATTCTTATTTCCCATGATATATACGGTGACCATATTAACCAACGTAAAATAAAGGAAATTTTTTTTTTTTCAAAATGATTTGGGAATACGTATGTACATACAACTTGTACGATAAAAGTACCTTACCCATATCGTAATTTAAATGAAATATTTACCAGTTGATTTACCGATTGCGAAAAATGAAACCCAATCCTTTTCAAGGTCTTCCTTTGCTACCAAAATGCGTTTACCACGCCGAAGCCAGCACACAGTGGTTCAAAGTTGGAATTTAATGTTCATAATTCACCGTAGTCTTCATTTTTCAACAAATTTTTACTAAAAACCGAAAAAAAACTATTTTGGTGAAATTTTTTTTATAACATTTCAAACATTTTTTTATTTTTGTAAGTTTCTCGTTTTGGCGAACCGTACAATTGTTTTCAATTAGACTTGTAACATTTATTAACTGGAACAGGAGAAAACATTTTCTTCAAAATTGACACTTTTTCTGCATTTTGCACTAAAAATAAAAATTCACAAATCAGGCTCAACTGGTCTTTTCAAAAAAAAAAAATATCAAATAAAGTGATAAAATGAAGGCTCCAGTGAATTACGAACACTAAATGCCAGTTTTGAACCACTGTGCAGCAGGGGTTTATTGTTCTCTTTCAAAGGAACTGGAAACTCAGCATACAACACGATCCTGGCCACAAGTTTTCCTATGCTTTATAGATTGTGCAAAGATTACCTATTAAATAAAAACCCTTAAGTTGGGTGTGAAACGAACTGGCGAAGGTTTTCATTATATTTTGTAAAGGACATTTTTATTTTTCATATTCTAAGTTTAAAAATTTACCTCTGAAAATTGAAGAGCTAATTTAAAGGACAGTTTGAGATATAACGGACAAAAGGCGTTCTTTATTTTGAAAAAATTATAAAATATATATAAAAGTTAAAACAAAAGACTGTCCTTTAAAATAAAGGACGGATGATCACCGTAATGATATAGCATTTACGCGGCGGCATAATTCTTTGACCTTCCGACCGAAAAGAGTAGCCACAAGTTTGATAGAGTACTTTCGGCTAAAACCTATAGAAATAGTAGCCGTAAATCTTGCAAGACCTGAAAATTTGACTTGTACGGAAACGCAGCATTAACAGTTTCTTAATTTCTTAAGCCAACTTCACTTATTACCGCACTGCCGAAGTCCGATTCTACAACTGCTCAACGTTACCGCTATGTTGTTTTATTTTCTTCATACAAGTTAAGGTAGGATACAACTTGAGGTATAAACGTGTTGCCAAAAGCACGAAGCATGATTCATATATTGTCACGACCAAACATCTAAATACGTGGAAAAGCAAGTTAATACTTTAACCGCGTATTTGATACCCAGCAAGTACTTGTGGGAAGGATTCGAGTACAAAAAGTATTCAGTACTTGAAGAAAGTATCGAGTATTTACTCGTAGTTACTTTTACCGGAACAACACTAATTATTATGCGAGCTACAAAATAATTAAGATACACATTGGCTAAGAAAATGTTTAAGTTAATAGTTATAAACAATCGGAAATTTACACTCACTATGACTATATCGAGATTATCACATAGATGGTCGGGTAGTGTGCGCTTAACAACTTCCTCCTCAGACATTCCATTGAAGCGGTCATGTTTCTTGCGCTCCTTGCCCTTCATCAAACCGGTGACGGTATTTTCGTTCGCATTCAATCCGGGGTTATCCGCAAGTCTGCTTAAAAATCATAGACGCGAATTTAAAAAACTTTCGATCAGAGATAATGCAAAGTACTTACTTGGAAGCCAGTTCATTGTTGGGGTCACCTGCTCCTCCATTACTGTTGTTTCCTGGTATAATTTGCATAGATAAAGGCAGCACGCCGTCGGCACCTGGCTGGATTTTCTTTTTGCGACCCCGCTTCTTTTGTGGTGGCCTCAGGATTACGTTATTCTCACTAAAAACAAACTGGGACGGCTGTGCTGGCAACTGCTGTTGATGCTGCTGTAGTGCCTGCTGTTGTTCACTCTCGGTCAACATATTCGCACCGGCTGTTGCTAGCTTTATTTTTAGGTTGTACTCGATCGACTCTTGGATTTCGTTATTGCCCACTAACAACTGCTGCTGCTGTTGTTGATGTTGACGTTGCATGCTGAACATTTCGTCCACCTGACCCATCACACCTGCTGCAGCACTCATATAGGACGCTGCCGCATCATTGCTTCTAATCACTTCTCCGACGCCATTGAGCTGCGGTTCTTGAACCATATTCGAGGCCCTATCATTTATGGGGTTACTTGCATTCGAAGCAGGTGCATTTGCAGTGGATATATCCTCGTCCATAAATGCGTAGGGGTTCGCAGATAGATTTGTACTCGCGGCACCTGAGAGTTCGTCATTGGGATTTTCTGTATTTCTCAGATCATGCATCACTTGCTGGGCCAAAGACTTGTTTTGGGCTTGCTGTTGGTTGACTACGTCGCCAACAGCGTGTTGTGGTTGCTGCATTTTTAATTGTTGCTCTTCACACTTGGGTGGTGGGATAAGGTTGATACCGTGCTGCAACTGATGCTGTGGCGTCACCGAATGCGTCGAAGAGCTGTGTGAATTCGGGGTGAGCACATCTCCGGCACTGGTTTCGTAGCCGTCATCCTGATTTTCATGCTTGACATTGTTTGGTGATAGAGCACTGCAATAAAACATGCAAAAGTACCGTTACTTACTGCGCACTTTTAAAGTTTTTGCGAATGAGAATCGAAAGCTGCAAATACGTAGATAAAATCAATTCCGAATAAAGCTTGCTACCTCCTTGTTTTGGCTCTATACAAACTAACTTAGAAATATTTGCGAATGCTTTAGCAGGAAATCCGATGTCGGTTGTGATTACATAGTTCTCCACAACAAGAGGTGTTTAAGAATATAAGACAAAAACATGCTTCAATTTGGGGAAACTGGACCAGATCATAGTATGTTTAAGACAGATTTTGGCCACAAACTTGTCTCTACCGCGCAAAAGTGGTATGGCTCTAAATGAGGCGAAACTGGGAAGTCAAAACAGACATACATATATTCTCAGGATTTCTGGGGGAAAGCATAGAGGAATAATGAATCTCTCTGCGTGCAATTAGGCCTTAATTCGGCAATGACTTACACACACAGCGTCTAAGGATGTCAAAAACCTTGTTTGTAAATAACTTCGTAAAGTTTGAAACACCGAGCTTTGAGCTGGTGGGAGCACTTTTATATAGGAAAGAATATATATTTGGTCCAACAGCGTGAATATTTAGTTTTCATTGCAATAACTTCAAAGAGAGGATGACCGATTTTGCCGAGGACGGAGTATGGTACCAGAAATCAGAAATAAGCATACAAGCGCTTTGATGTGCTTTTCGTCCGTTTGATGTCGAAGAGCTGTAATGACAACGAACAGCCGAAATCTTTCAAATCGACTTAAAAAGACCACCTCTTATCGCCCGGATTCAAATGAGCAGTGGAATTTGATCTCCCAAACTCCTTGTACCGCTGTGGGTTTAGCACCACTCACATGAAAATAACTGGTATGACCAATTAAGCCCCAGCCACTTGCGATGCGCGGTATAATTTAGATATATACCGAGGAAAGTTGAAGGAAGAGAAATATCCTTTTAAGAAGCAAAAAAGAGAGCCAGAAAACCTTGAGTGCGAAGAGTTTGAAATGTCTTCAGGCTAAGTCTTCAAATCTAGGGCTGCTTATTGCAAAGAAAAATATGGAACTTTGGTAACAGAAATCCAGAGTACATTTGAATCAGGGTTGTTGCGAATATTATTCCCAAATAAAAGTCCTTTCTGGATAATAAACAAACGGCTTATCCAAATTAAACAAGTTTGGTATAAAATGAAAGAGGACTTAAATTTAAAACTAAAATGCCTAAACGAGGAAAGCCACATATTGAAAAATATTTCAATAAAAAATGTTAATTAATCACCATAGAACAAACCTTGTGTCAGGTATATGACTTTTATTAGTATAGAATTATAAAAAATATAAATAGAGGTCGTTCGTTATTTCTGTTTAAAAGCTTTTTCAGTCCTCTTTCATGTGATACCAAATTTGTTTAATTCGGACAGGCCGTTTGTTTATTATCCGGAAAGGACTTTTATTTTGGAATAATATTCGCAACAACCCTGATTTGAATTATAAAAAAGAGAACACTCCTCGCTGTTGAATAGCGAGATAAACCCAGACAAAGAAGAGGTGAGAACAGCAATAATTCGGGTGAAAAACACGGACTTCCAGAGTACACTTGGGATACAGAGAGAATACTTCTCAAGGATATCGAACAGCACACTGGTGGCGGGTTTGATGAAGATCAACCCAGACAAATTTTTTGGAATTAAACTCCTTTCCCTCCACTCGACCAAGAAGAGATGAGAAAAGCCGTAATAAGGCCCCGTGACGGACGGTATACCGGCTTTGCTGTTCAAAGACGGCTGCAGAGTTGGATAGACTCATCTTGAAGATATTAAGTGCTATAAAGTTGAAGATTATAAAATTTTTTAAGTGTAAATAAGCTGAAGGATCAGTTGAAAAGAGAAATAAATTATCTCAATCAAAATTTCCGCGACAGCCACAAAAATGCAATTGCCAATATAGCAACTCAGTTGCCATTTGCCCTTTTTAATACTAATTCAGCCCATTAGTGTACATTGCCTAATCCGTAAGAAGAGATGTCATGTAGTTTGATCCAATTACCGTGCGACAAGCCTACTTAGCATGGTATGGTCCTACCGACTGTTCCGTACCATTCATGAACCATTGAATCTTATGAGTGTGGCTTCAGGCGTGGCATATCCACCGTTGACAAAATTTTCATACTGCGTCATTTCTAGGGATGCAAACGATGCATCCATGTTTTCAAAATATCGATGTTTTGCTGGTCGAGTGAAAAACATCGACATTGATCATTCGCGTAGCAAGCGAGCGCTTGTTCCCGGAAAATGGTGCAACCATCACTCAGGATAGAAGTAGGCTTTTGGGGACTAGATTGTCAAAGCTTCCTTTCTGAACTCGATTTCAAAAGATACATCATAATTATAGCAACACACTTATACTTGTATTGAAATATGCCCAACAAGCATTTCAGTAAATGTTTTTAAAAATAACTTAAAGTAAGTTTGCTGTAATAAGCGTTAAATAAGCATTTTTAATATTAAGCTTATTAAAAGTTTTTTCAAACAAACCTTTAATATGTTTTGAGAGCGAATGTTTATAAATAACTTACAGCCGCACTCAGAGTCGTTTAAAATTACTTTTAGAAAGATTACAGTTAAAAAGAGTGTATAAACACCGCTCTCAGTCAAAGCGAATTGGAGATCAGCCGTTCCGCTCAAATTCCAAATAATCGCATCAGTATTTAAAAGCTGATTAATAATATTCGTTCTTTTTCTTTGCCACGATTTTATAATTCCGAATAAAACTAGATTTTTATCACTTTCCATTATGTTAACTTATAAAATGTCAAATGAAAACAGCTAATTTTGTTTGCTTTTGAAGACGGTTACTTTGATGCCGATATAAAGCCGTAAGTATAAACACCAGAGCGAAATGTGTACGGTGTCAATGCGCTTTCAATTAAGTCGATTATTCTGTGCGTATAAACGTAGTAAATGTTAAGTAAACAAAAACCTTTACTTAACTTTTTAACGAATGATTTTGAAATTTTTTGTTTGTTTTCAATAAATTTCAATTTCGATAACGTCGCTGTAACAGTGGCAATGGCCTAGTGAGCAGAGCCCTTTCGTGCCATTCAAGAGATCCGAGTCCAATCCTCGCCAACGAATTTTTTTTAATACAATTTTTTTTTTAGTCTTACAGCCGCACTCAGAAACGTTCCTTAAATTAGCTCTAACGGGCACTTAACTAATGACCGTTAAATCTGTTAATTAATGTTTCCTCTCAGAGTTAAAAATTATAAAAATTCAAGTATGGCCCCAGTTGCGGCCCTTCATTTTTGTGGCATCACTCACTTTTTTCGTTCAGTTTGAAATAAAATATAAAAATAAGTATTTATATTATTTTGTGCGCACTGGCTCAACAGACGCAATGGCTGAGCGAGCAGAGCACTGGCGCGCTATTCGAGAGATCCGAGTTCGAGTCCTAGGGTAGGAAAATTTTCTTTTTCTTTATTTATTTATTTTTTCTTGTTCAATCTTTATAACCTATTTTTATTGGATTTGTTTTTGCTTTTTTGCTCTAATTTTATTTATTTTGATTTATAGATTTGATTATTTTGAAAAGAAACATTTTTTTAATTTAATTAAATTGTCTGCTAAAAGACAAACAAGACCAATAACAGGCCAATTCTGGCATTTGTCTTTCAACTCACCTCAATCTCCTCAATCTTTCGAGAGACAAAAGTCTTTATATTTCGGTAACAATCTTGAAAGTCCTTTTCTGTATTTCGAATAACTATTTGAAAGACGTGCTAATAGTGTTATTATATTTATCGTTTAGCAAGAAGTTTTCTAAAAACTAAACGAAATGAAAAAAATACTTTTTTAAAACAGGAAAAATTAAAAATTTGAGAAACTGAATGTGAAAGAAAAAATATGAATCAAAAAAGTTTCCAAAAGGTAAATAAAATAAAAAATATGAATTTTTTAAGCAATAAAACTTAAAAAAAAAGTAGTATTAAACAAAATTCATTGCCGAGGATTGAACTCGGATCTCTTAAATGGCACGAAAGTGCTCTGCTCACTGGGCCATTGCCACGGTTACAGANAAATAAAATAAAAAATATGAATTTTTTAAGCAATAAAACTAAAAAAAAAAGTAGTATTAAACAAAATTCANCTGTTACAGCAACGTTATCGAAATTGAGATTTATTGAAAACAAACAAAAAATTTCAAAATCATTCGTTAAAAAAGTTAAGTAAAGGTTTTTGTTTACTTAACTTTAATGTTCATTAAATGCCATTAACGAATCATTAACTGACTCTGAGAGGGAATTTTTTCAAATCGTTACTGAGGGACACCTTAAGTTAGGGATGCACAGCAGAGGTGCACGCAGTCGACGTCGCGGGCAACCTGCGCGCACGCGAGCGTGCTTGGCGAGGTGAAGTGAGCTGTACGGAGATGGCATCGTATACATATTAACCACTACACAATTTTTTTCAAGTACAAATGTGTGTATGTATGTGTACTTTTGCGACAACTGAGCCAGTGTGCATCAGGCCACCAGAAAAAGCCAATTTTTCTAAAACAAAAGCGCCAAATTTTTATTATCATGTTTAATAATTTTTTTGATTCAGTAAAANTTTTTTTTT